ATAGAGGTAAGGTGACTGCAAATCAGAGCATCAATTAGGTCAAGCTGGAAAGCAGCAATTAGACCCAACAGCATGTGCTTGTTACAGTAGCTACAACAGGTTTATTGTGTACAAAGAAAATGAATTCTGTTAATTGAACTTCTATGTTCCTGGTCCCATTTATAGTAAGCTTTCCTTCTCTCTCTTCCCTCTGCCTTTAATGGACACTTCATATACTGGTGTGCATATACTGGTATATATTTTCTTCTCATTTGAAAGCTGTTGTTAACAGAAATTACATGACCATTGGATAAAGGAACATCAGAGAGGAAAGTCTCTAATCAGAACCTAGACAAGGGCTAAGCAATCAATTGAATTGGATAGAAATATCATGACATAGCAAAGGAAGTGCATGAGACAGAAAGGGATATCAGCTTAAATTACATACCACTGAGATCAGTATGCCAGGCCTGATCCCATGATTTCTTCTCTTGTTTATGTCCTGGCAAATGTTGTACTCATTCAACCCAGGTGGCAAAAAGCTTAATGTACGTACACACAGACCTTCACCACTGCTCTCCATATAGTTCTCTTAGTGCTGTATGTTTGCCTTCAGAGCTGGCCTGTGAACACCCTGTGAACAGCTCATAATTCCCTCTTGCATTCCCTCTCAATGGAAAACAAGAAGGTACCTTGTGGCATCTCTAGTGGCACACAAGATTAGTCTGCCAGACTTCCTCAGCCACTCTTTGCCTGGAACTGTGCCTTTACCAAACCTATGCTTAGCACTGGCAGGGTCTGTGCCAGGATGAGGCAAAACAGCACAGGTTTTCAGGGGAATTATTTGTGTTTTTAGTGAAGATATCATACAAAGGTGCTCCTTCCCAGATAAAACAAGTCTTCTAACCAAGAGCTGTGAATAAAGACTTCCAAGGGAAGGTCTTTGAGTCTATGGCTTTTTAGGACACAGTTGCTTGGCCACAAACACTGGCTCAGTGCATTTAGCAGAAAATATGATGCAGATGAAGAGTTGATTACAATGTGGATCACAGCAGAAAGTCTACACAGATTTTTAAATACACATACCAGTTTTGTGCTGCCTGACAATACCATGTAACCTGATGGTTAATCAAGCAAGGTTTCTGTGAGCAGATCTGAACCAGCATAGTGGGGTTTATGCCATAATGTGGCTTTGTGTCACAAGGCCTGAATTTACAGCATCACCAAATCGTGGTTTCAGTTGAAGTTTAGTCACTTCTCACTATCAGGTCACTTTCTCAGGGGAAATCTGCAACTTTTGTTTTCCATGATAAGGCAGGCCCTGATCTAGCTCTGAATAAGGGCAGTTAGTATATGCAAGAATCTAAAACTGCACAGATTCTGTGACAACAGAAAGTTAACAGTCCCCCTTATTCTGTGAATGGCTTCTAGCAATAAACCAAATGGGAAGAAATAAAACACTTTACTAGCTGCTTTAATGCACAATTGTCTCATTCACCAAAGGTGAGGCAAATTCACACCTACTAACTACTCTCCTTGGAAGTGAGCGGCACTCCAGGCCAGCAGAGAAGTGGCCTAGGTGTGACATATTTTTGCACAAAGCCATTGAAATGCACCCTCTGGATGTGGCAATGCTCTCACATTAGCCCAAGCACTCCATCCCAATTCTGGCAAATTGCACCATCCTTTGGGATGACCCAGGAGCGAAGCTGCCTCTGAACATGAATGCATGTGCACGTGGGTGTACATAAGAATTAATCCACATGTATACACGCATTTGCATGTGCAATCTGAAAGGGACTGGTAATAGTGTGGAGGGTTTGCTATCTTTAGGAAAGCCCTGGAATTTATCACAGACACCCAGTCACTCCTCTTTCCCGGAGACAAGCTCCAGGACTATGAATAAATACTATCCTCCATACCTCTTTCAAATAATTGCCCCATTTCCTACACGAAGAACAGGAACCATAGTAATTACCCTTGGCAGTCTGGAAGAAACACCGAGCATTCCTAAAAGATTGCCTCATACCAAAGAACATTTTCAAGCCTGCAAAGTGGATAGAAGAGAGCTGAAGCTGTGCTTCATCTTCCTCAGCACAGGCACATAGATGTTTTCTCTTCTCTTCCTCCCCAGCTCACCCCATCCCTATGCCCAACCCCCCAAAAAAGGGAACCACCTCAGATCAATTCCCCAAGCCCATCCCTTCTGCCTTACCTGTTCCAGACACCCCCAGCATATCCTTTCCCCTGCTTCAGTGCCAAGAAGCACCTGCCCATCACCTATATCTTGTGAAAGGAGTATCACAGCAACCCCTTAAAACAAACATTCCTACAAACAGGAGACGACTCCTGTGAATTTGTGCTCTTTATGGTTGGCTCTCAACCAGGACATACTGAGACCTCACTGCCAAATTGTCAGGACAAGGCTTAGCGCTCTCCCCACCTTAAGGAGCAGAGTGTGACTGCATATATCTCACATGCCAGGACCACTTCAGTTTCAAACCTGGACAAAGTGCTTTGTCATGGGGCTGAGCATAACCCTTCAGTTCTACCATGAGTGGGATTTTCTTCTTATTTTGGAATTCATACATGCTTCAGTTAATGAATGAGAAGAAAATGCATCTTTATTTTAAAGCAAAACAAAACAAAAGGCAACAAAAAGAAAGAGCCTACTTGTGCTTAATTGTTATTCTAATTACAAGTTGTGGTGTAGTGTAAATTCTTTCCCTTGGCATTATTATGAACCTCATTTCCTTACAAAGTCCAGGATAAACAATTCCAATATATTTTGTTTTAATTATCAGGGTTTAATGGGGCATAATAAGACTAAGTTGAGTGGTGCAGAAAAAAAATAATTTAATGTGTGCAAAACTACCTAGTGCTCCTAGCATGCCTGTGCATATTTCACCTATTGTAGGGCAGCACTATGTTAGCTAATATTCAGTGTGCCCATCATTTATTTATTAATCACACTAGCTTTTCAGTAGAATTTTTTTCCCCCGGCATCTGGAACAAGAAGAAACACATTAAGATATCCTAGAAAAACAGTGGGCAGTTCTCTGGGTTGAGCAGTGAAGGATGAAGCTGATGGTGCTGGAAGGATTTGTCATGCATGGACAGAAGATGCAATGCTGGACACAGATCCTGGCTCTGCCAATCTACTCCAAATGCTGCCAGTAAAAACTTTTGGCTTCAGTTCTTAGGGCCTCTACCACAAGTAGCAAAGATAAAACATCTGCTGAAGTCACCATTCAGAAACAACCTGGCCCAGACTCTCACGTAGATGCATCTTGCCACTCCCAAGGTGTGGTTCCCACAGTGTTAAAACATGGCAGGTACTTCTGCAGTGAAAAGAGAAAAGTGCATAAGAGCAGCCTGGAAAATAAAACAGTTAAAGGGAGATTCTTTATGGCCCTCTATGCTTCCCAAGGTCCCTTGGCAATGGCACTGAATCCCATGGCTGGGTGTGGCTGATGCAGCAGTTAGAACCACCCTGCTACCAGAATTACCTTCCACTTTACCGGGGCAAGCACATACCAAGATCAAAACACTTTCACTTGAGGAATAAATAACTACTGGAATAACTTCCCTGAAGGGAAACATGTCTATCCTCCTTATCTGTTGACACAGAGGACTTGATACGAATGAAGCCATTGGGAATGCCTTCTCTTCTGGAAAATTATTTGATTCATGACTCTAGGAAAGATTCAAATACAACACAGAAACCACACCAATGTTACATTACATTTATTTTAAAATTAGGATTTTATATTACAGATTAATTTAATACACCCCAAGTGTTTGGGTTTTAAATAAAATAAATTTGTTATAGACATCAGTATTTACAGAAAGAAAAACATAACTTTTTTTTTTTTTTTTTTAGTCTCTTTGGAGTAAAAAATTTCTCCATGAAGTTTTTGGCCATGGGAGATGCCACATTCTGTGAGAGGTCAGCCTCCTTCAAGGAAACAAGAAACCAACCAGGCTTAAGATACACCTTCATGAATTGACTGAGGAAGGGCAATGGGCTGGTTACCTGCATGAAAATGTAGCAAGACTGAAAGATCTCAAGGGGCCCCATCCAAGCCTGTGCCTTTCTGTTCTTTAAAGAAGGGAAGGGAATCAGCACGTACATTCAAAACTCAGACACCGGACCAGGCCAGCATCTAGCACATCCTCATGGACCTCCAAAAGCTTTGTGGTTTTCTTTCTTCTTGTTAAACCATGAGGATTCCGACCCAAGCTTAGGATCCCACAGCATAGCAAATACACAAAGGCAATCTCTGGTGCCACACACCCTGACAGCCATTACAGGGACAGGCACTGCCTCACCACACAGAGTTGCAGCCCTGAGTTAGAAGCCAAGTATGCTGATTCCCAGACAAATACTGACCCATGGGCTCCTTCAGACTGGCTAGCAAGTCCCATGGGGACTTAATGAGGAGTTCTCTGCATTTGGTAGAGCTGCATAAAGCTCAGGGGAAGAAGTCCATTTCCTGGTAATGCATGATCTGCAAGTGGTAGAAACCTCTGAAATTAGGTCTGGGCAAATACTTACCCTGAAAGCTCCAAGTAGGACTGCACATCCCCACTGGATCATGCATCCAAAACTGATTAGGGCTGTGCTACTGACACCTGCATCCCATCCTGGATTGAGGCAGGATGCCATGCTTGTTAAATCACTAGAAAGTCTAAGCCTTGGTACACAGAACAAGACCTTAATTTGAACAGCCAACTTAAGGTGTTTCAATTCCTTTACATAGCATATTCCTGATTTTAATACTTTCCTTGGTGTACAGGCACTCAAAGAGCTCTCCATGGAGGTCTTGAAGACTGCAGCTCTTCACAAGACAGCCACCTTTCCACAGCCATGGTGAGAGGAGAAGGATCTGAAGCACAGACAAGTTTCTGTCTCTCCTGCCCTCTAAATTAAAATGCCATCTCCTTTGGAGTTTTCAGTGTCAAATGAGGAACTGAATCCATGTACACACAAATGCAGAGAAAAAAAAAAAAAAGTCTTGCTAATGACAGCCACAGCTTGTTGCCACCATGTCTTTATAATTTTTAAGGACAGAATTCAGTTTGTCATCAAAGTAGAGAAGATTGAGGGACTTCAATTCATCTGGCACACAGCAGGGCATGCTGACATCTTGAGACAATTTCAGTGTATAAACAATGGACTGAACTGTAGCATGGTTTGTTGCATTTAGACTTCCCCCCAAAGGGAAGATGCAGGATCCTCTGCAATAATATGCATTGTATCCATTTGGGTGAATAATCCATTTTGACCAGCCAATAGCATGGAAGTCTACATAGAGCTCCCTTCGGTGACATGCTGCTAAGGGGCTTCTGGCAGCAGCGGCTGCGGCAGCTCGGGGTCTCCTGCTCATGCTGGCACTGCTGCTTTCCATGACAGCAGTGCCATGAGAAACACGTGAAGCATCATATTCATCAGTTTCTGATTCTGAAATGAAGCTGTATGTTAATATTTCACAAACAAAGTTCATTTACAAACAGTACAGTATTCTGTGTGAAAGCCTATTAAGCAAATCTACATCGAAGTCTTCAGAGCAGATTTCAAAACGGCAGCTAACCTGTGAATGTACCAGAAGGGGTGTGTATTCAATTGCCATTTCAGCCATGCTTCCAAATCTGCCAAATCTTGTGTCCTGGAAAAGACCCAATCCAGCCGAAATGGAAAAAAACCTTGCAATGATCTACCAAATATTTTGAACTCCACAATTCCTCTTCAGGGCTGAATCTAGTCAGAATGGTATTTACTGTGTCCATACAGCCACTCCTACAACACACATTATTCTGGGCAGTGCTAACAGAGGGTGGAGATCACAGCCTTTTTCTCTCCAGTATTCTCCCAGGGACTATACCCATACACTTGCAAAGCAGAATGTGCAGAAACCTGGCAATGTGCAAAGCAACATTGTAAAAAATATATTTTTCAAATTTTTGATCCTAAGAAAAACCACCACCAGGTTTACAGAACACTGCTAAGAAATGAAGTGTACTGACAATAGGATGCTTTCTTACAGTATCTTCTGAGATGCCCTGGGATCCATGGAGATCCATGTACACAAGCTGGAGCTCCCTGATATGTAGAACAATGTGTGATCCCTGAGCACTAACAACGGGCAGGTCTAGAGAGTTACTTTGTTAAGAAATTTCTCAATCCTGACACAGTATCCCATGCAGAGCTTGATGCTCATTAAACTAGATCTAGGATTTCACTATTCATTTTAATTTGGAAAACAGACCGGCCTAATTTTTAATTTTAAAATTTTATTTCTAATCAATTTCACCACCTATTTCTTAATATTGTCGCACCTATCTTCTAATATGCAAATACAACCGTTTACCAGAAAAGCCTGGAAAGCCAGAACAGCATGATTTTTGCCCCTTCTTCAAGCTCTTTGCATTTATCAGGCCCTAAAATCCAGCCTTAGCTGATTTTACACTAAGGCCAGTGGGAGAGGTAAGACACTGTTTTGTATTTTAAGGCACGAGGGCGTTGTCTTTGATGAAAGCGGCCTTTAGTCACAATGCTAATTAGTCACTGAAGTTAAATAGGTGCTTAAAAACCAAGCCAAGGACAAAAAAGTTCAAATTGCTTGTTTAACAACTTCTTTCACTCTTAAAATCACACTTTATGACTCTACTACAGATACTTTACCAGAATTTTGACATAGCATTCCAGGTCACTAGATTTTTTTCAGTACATACAATTTTCATGCAAATTTCACCACCACAAAAATAATATAAGCAGTACTTTAAAAATATAACTCCCACCCCTTTACAAACTAAATAAACCTGATTCTCCTTAGGATTAATGAATATTTCTGGCACACATAGCTTTTGTGAGGGGAGGGGCAATTTAGGATGCTGGTGACCTACTAGAACTATCAAATCTAATTTCGATCACTGACAAAGGTGAACATCAAACCTGTTTATTACTGCAAGTAAATAACTGAGGTTAGGTCTACATGAGGTAGCAGGAGGTGACAGAAGATGAACGGGCAATTCATAGTCTAAAAGGGCACTTACTTGCAGCAAAGGGTACTAAGCTGTGAGACCTCCGCTTGTTGCTGTTCGTGAAGAGAACCAGGAGAGCATTTCTGCTCTCCTGCAAAGTGCCGTGGCTCTTGGCAAATGTAACCACGTCGTGTTCCATTCCATTCTTGGAAACATGTGTTGCAGTTATCCAAAAGCCATGGTTGGAGCTGCTGTTTTCAACCCACTTGGAAACCTGGTGACGATAGGGAAAAGAAAAAATATTGTTTCAATATTCTAATTACAGCATTATAATTAAGCAATGTTTCTATTAGGAAAAGAGAATAGGCAACAAGCTATGAGAGCATAAGGACATATATTATAACAGAAGTGAGATAACTGCATAGCTGAGACTCCATTGACTTGAATATTTAAACCAGTAATTCAACACTTAAAAATACAAAATAGCATATGCATTCCCCAAGGCTACATTTACAGAAAGATAATTAATTTCAGAGAATTTACCAGTGAACACTTGAGTGTACACTCAACATTTTTTAATATTAAAATAAGCTCTCTCTGACTTTCAGCAGAAATTTATTTTTCATAGCAATCTGAACACAGTAATATTAACTCTCCAGACTTTTCATACCGTTAAGACTTATGTAAATCTAAAAAACATGGCATTTGAAGAAATTCACAATCAAGCAAATTTACTTATCTAATTGTTGTAATTGCACACTGACCGATTAGGCCAGGTCATTCTCTAGCAGGAATATCATTACTTAAGATGGAACTCAGCCAAGCATCCAAGCACGCTGTTCAGTCTGATCATAAAGCTTAGGCAACACTGTCCCAGAGTACAGCTTTATATAACGGGCGGGTTCTTTTGCTACGGAAAGGCATTCACCTACTACTACAATTTATGGATAGCTACAAAACCGATCTTGAAGCTCACAAACACAGAAGTCTATGGGGGCAGTAGAATGACAGGCTATCCAACAAAGATAAACTCCGGAAACACAACGCTGAAGCAATACTGCTCTACAGAAATGCTGCCAGAATAAAAAGGAGAAACTAAAACCTACTCTTAGTAGGCAACCAATGCCAATTGCTTTGGCAGTCTGAAGACTAACACCAGGTTTTAATCAGTACTTGCCTGACGTCCCTTAATCGACTTGGTTTGGGCTACTCAGCTGTCACCATGCTTGTGCTCCTAGAAGCTCATAAACACTTCTTTAATTCAGGTAGCACCAGGTGTACTTTTAAGGGTAGAGAGAAAGGTTCTCCCTCTGCTGTTGTCCTTCTGTTTGAACTGACCTCAAAACCCAGCTTAATGACAATGCTGGAGTAGTAAGGTGTCATCTCGAAAGTTTAAGAAAAAAAACTTAAGTCAGACTTTGCTTACTGTCTGTGTGACATTGAAGACTTCCCAGCCTTCTGTATGGAGGGACAATAATCTTGATGCAATGAGATGTTTTTTCTGTGGCTTATTTTCACTCTCCAAGAGCTCATACACTTCCACCTAAATAACAATAATATACAACAAAACCAAGAAGAAATTTATTTGATTGTTCTTACAGCAAACTAGGAGGATGAAGGTTATGCAGATTTCTGCTACTTCACAGCTGTAAAACTCTACCGTCATTCTAAAAGAGGTAAAAAGTAGATTTGGGACCGTTTAATAGAAAAACAGTTATTGCTACATACATCTACTTCTAGATGTGTTCAGAGGCAGGACACCAGATATAGATAATATAGAAAATTATCCTAACCATCCCTATCCTGTTTTGAACACCTGATACCGTCAAAGTCTTCCGTTCCTCCACATAATTGTCTTCAGGTCTGCAAAAAGTCCAATTCTGCCCTTTGCCAGAGGAATAGATACACTCAATTTCCTTAGCCGACTTGTTTTCCCATGAATCCCTGGCTGCTATTACTATTTTTCGGAGCAGCTCCAGCAGATAAATTTCCATTCGAATTTCGAAACTTCTCAAATCCCAGAAAAGTATATTTGGGATAGGTCTGACGTTAGCATTTTTAGGGAAAGCTCACTGCCATAGCACACAGGTCAGTGTAAAGCCGAAGTCAAAACTTTACGTTACTTCTTTGCATGCTGGAGGCAAAGAAAAATTGAGTATGACAAAACAAAAATAACAACAAAGCAGGTTTATGTGACACATAGTTGCACTCCTTTTAGTTGCACTAATTTTCAGTATTAATAACAAAGATAGCAGACTTAAGTGTTTAGCTATTTCCTCACTTACTTTGCAGAAGTGTTGCGTGTAGGACCTTCTGGACCGATGCGTCCTCTTAAGCTTGAAGACCCTGAACTCGGCTTTCAGCATCTGCTCGCTCTTCTCCATCGCGCTGATGTCGAAGTAGAAGTGGTGGTGGTCCACGTGAACTGTAAAAGACCCTTCTTAGGAACACTGCCAGACCCCGCCGGGCCTGACCCGCCCGCGCGGGGATCCTCCGCGGGCTCGGCCCCGCCGCCCGGGCCCACCTCGGTCCTCGAAGCTGCGCACCACGTCTCCCTGCAGCAGCCCCGGGGCGCGGGTGATGCCGTTGGCGTCGGCCACCTTGTTGAAGAGATCCACCATGAACTGGGGCGGCTTCTTGCGGGGCAGCACGTCGGGCGGCAGCTCCTCGATGTCGAAGACCTCCCGAAGGCGCTGCAAGGCCGCGGCCAGCACCGAGTCCCGCGGGTCGGGGAGCAGGGGCAGGGCACGGGCCACCCTCAGGCTCAGCAGCCCGGCCAGGCACAGCCACAGCCACGGCCACAGCCACGGCGGGCGGGTCGCCATGGACGGCGGCGCGGGCTCGGCCGGGCCGCCTGGGGCGCCCCGCGGCCGTGACCGCGCTGCGTGAGGCG